TTTTGGCGGATTGAGGTGGCCGCTTGCTCGTGTGCCACCTTATGTTATAAAAAAAAATGTATCATTCACAATAATAATTTAATGAATAAGTAATTCTGATTTAATAAACTAGATGGCGCCACAACACTGTAAACTAAATTATTTTATGAATCGTTACATGCATTAGCTTTCTCAAGCAATTTGAAACTATTGCTAAAAATATTTATAACAGTAAAGCATTTTCAAATCTTTATTTTTATTTCCATAAGAAACGATATAAGATAACTAAGTTACAATAGACTTTATTTTCCGAGTTCCTCGACTAAGTCCAAGTAAAGGGGCGAGTGTTCTCTCTGCATGTAATTAAGACAAAGCTAATGTTTACTCTGGCCGGCAGTATAGATATGCATGCCAGGGGAAAGTTCAGGGGTCGTTTCAAGTATAGTTAGAACGTTTAATTTTAGAACTTAAACGGAATCTAATAATAGTTCTGTATATCATAACTAGTTTTTGTACGCGAATTCGTCTGCGAATAATTAAAAATAAAGTAATAGAACTAACAGTAGCTAGCAAACTTGTATTCGAAGAGTAAGACGCTTAACATCTCGTCTCATACGATTTAGTAAACATTAGCTTTCACCCGCGACTCCGTCCGCGTGGAATTGAAACAAAACAAAAATGAGTAGCCTATGTGTTTCTCAGACTATCCTCTACATTTATACCAATTTTCATCAAAATCCGTTAAGCCGTTTACGATACAAACTAACAAACATTCATCCATCCGTCCACCTAAACTTTCGCATTTATAATAATACAGTGAGATAGTGACATTATACTGGCATGCGATACGCATTGGGCCAGTAACTGGCATGTCGGATAATACCCCATTTTACTGGCAGATGTATTTCCTATACAATTTTTGTTCTCTTAAGTATAAAACAAATTATAACTAGTTCTATTAGAAACAGCTTTGTTTCGTGTAACTTTTCGTATTGGTATATTGAAAAAGTTCTGAGACCGCTCGACACATGTTCGTGTTGATTAAATAAACAGTTGTTTGTAAGAAATATACATCAATGTAGCCATGGGTAACGCGATAAAATTGATGACCTGCAGATCAGTGATCCGGCTCGTTGATCAGCTCAATTTGTACCTGCATAGAGTTATCATTTGCGAGAGCTGTGAGTCAACAGAGTTATACCTCGTTGTTATACCGCGTTGTGCTGTGATCTGCTAATTCAGTTGTTGAGCCGCAGCTCAACGGCCCAAGACTTTGTGAGTGAATCTGTTGAGTTGGTGCAGAGCTGATTCAGACACGTATATCAATGTATATTGTAGACAGCAATGAGGTTTAATATTAATTATTACAACGCGACTCCGACTTTACAAGAGGTTTAAGTTTCTTAAGTAAAAAAATGCAAGTGCAATCAAATTATACAGACTATAGTGATAAGAGTAAAATATTTGTGTAAGTTTAAATAAAAGCTTCAGTTTAATATAAACCATTTCATAAAAAATCGTAGAACGTATGAGATTTTAATATTTGATTTTTTTCTTTCTCCGAAAATGTCTTCATTCATTTGATGTCGAAGTATGCGGAATCACGATGTTAATGTGTAGAGGTCCTGTAGTATTAAATTATTCACGTATTTTCCTCAAACAAACGTATCTAATAAATCGTTGCTCGCTTACAAAGCACCACAACCTCGGATGCACTTTGAATTTTTATATTTCATTATTATCATAAGATGTTAGTACTTTTATTGAATTTTTTTAGAACAAAGAAATGGTAAAATTGTAAATTATGAATTGCAAAGAATCTTTTCTAGCCGTGTTTCTACCAATTCCACTGCCTAGATCAGAACTACTTCTTATGTTATATTTTTAGATGCTAATAAATAACATTAAAAATTAACTAACGACTTTTGGGACTAATGGCCAGTGTTAAAAAAAATATGAAAACGAAAAAGTTTCACCTAAACATTAACCTCATTCGTTCGTTTAAATTTCGAACGCGAGAAATAATCTGCAGGCAGAGGCGCCGAAGCGGTAATGGCGGTAAAATTGGCGCGAAGTTCACGAATTGTATCGAATGGCGGGCTTTGATTGATTGCACATCTGCAAAACTCTGAACTGTTTCCCTTCGTTTAATATCTCTTTAAGGAAATCTCTAAGGGATGCTACAGATTATTAATTAAAACCTAAGCTTGCTCACAATTTTAAAAGACATCTTTTTAATTGTTGAATGTTACGATTACAGATAAAAGGTATATAATAAATGTATTATTTGTTTTATGTATTGGGTCACTACTATAATACTAAGCGACGTAAGCATATGTGAGGTACCAGGATAACGTGAACAAGGAAGATACGATGTGATGCGCCACGTGTGTTATGCGCCACATGTGTTATTTTACACGAGAACAGCAACAACTGGACTGCTATTTTATCAATACAGAGATAGAAAAGTGCAGGAAGATTGCGTTCAAGACGCATTGCCCTGTTTACTGTTCTGTCCTCGGGTAAAACTGAAATTGCCGAATCGCTTTGTGCGCCTTAATTCATTGTGATGAGATGATAATTGCGATTCAGGTCGCGAACCATCACGTACGTATGCAGATTAGCGGGACGATCTTCCTTCCGTTAGTCCGTGACAATCAGATATACGCCCCCGGGTCGAATGCCCGATTGTGATTCATTTGTGAGAGATTAGACGATAAATCGTTCGCAACCATTGTCCCAAACTAGATCATGTCATGACCTAGATTGTTTATTGTTTATTCAAATAAACGAATGCATTTTGAATCGATCAAGACATTTTTAACAATGATTAATTGGAAACAAATCGTTATAGTTCTATCTTTCAAGATTCTTTGTGGAGATGAAAGATGATTCCATTGGAATTTTTTGTATTGTCTAATTGTAGCGTTTGGGGAACAATGTTGATTAGTTGAGGTTAGTTTAAGTCTTAACTCCATAAAGACAAAGATATTTTAACATTATTATTGGAACGCCTAGTCTCTGTTATAAATTCCTGTTTACATAACAAACGTCATATAAAAGTTGCTAATTTATTTAATTTGATGTCAACATCTTTGTCATTGATTTTTTATAAACAACAAGATATCCTCGAAAACAAATGTTTATAAAAATGTAAGTAAAGAAAACATAAAATTTACGGGCTATAACAGCGGTAAAATTGATGATTTTCATTTTGAGGTTATTGTGCCTGTCCCTTGTCGCGAAATCTTTCTGATCCTTCATTTAATGTTATTGCACTTTTACCGAAGACATTTTGAAGTTTTATTGGGGATTATATTATTAAAAAATAAAACCTGCACATTGAGTGAAACACTATAACTTTGGACGTGCCACAAATTAAGGCAATTTTAAAAATAAGCCGATTTCCTACATGAAACCATTGAACAGATATCCATAATTCTAATAATATTAACATTTGAACAATTTCTGTGGTTAAGAATGCGTCAAAAACCTAGTCTTTAGAACTCAATACTTTGGTCAAATTTACCTTTTCTACTCGTAGCTGCTATTGCTTCAAAAGCTTCGTATAATGAAGGTGATATATATTCAATCATTGTACTAAATGTTTTCTAATCGTGTCAATATTTACCCATTTATAATGATCGGAGAATGACTCTGTTGGCAATATTAAGCAAAATAATTAAAGTTAAAAATTTATTTATTACCGCAATTAATCGATCCGAAAGTATTATCTTGACCAGTTCTCAAAGTTCAGTGATCGTTTTTAAAATAACTGAATCTTAAGTCTTTGAAAGGTACATCGTTTATTTTGCAATGAAAATCTTCGTATTCGATTTTTATTGCTTCAAGTTCGGGTAATGATATAAAATTAGGTCCTAATCAATTATTTGTTTGTGTTATTTTATTTATTTTAAGGTCATGAAATCACACTAAAGGCAGATTGATTTAAAAAAGTACGTGAAGGTGTATTCCTATAGATTAAATGAGAAAAATGTTTTTTGGTAAACTTATGATATTTTTCCCAAGTGATGATAATGTTATTCAAAATGGGGACAAAACAGCCATAAAACTTATGGTGAGCTTTTAAGAAATGATAACATTGTGATTCATATAAAATAATTTAATTGGGGTTGTTAGAATGTGTGAATTTCATCATGAATATGTATAATATTCGTTCGTATATGATGTTGAAAACTGAGACTGAGAGTGAACGAACTTGGTCTATTACTCCCAATATTAATATAAATTTTAACTTGTGTTTACAAATTAAACAGAGTTATAGGCTTTATTTACATATGTGATTAAGGCAACGGGACATTTGTTTCATCGGCATAAATTTAACACGATGATAAGCTGGCGCTAAGGAGTTTGGAGTACCTTTCCCCGCAACTGGTTTCCGTTGTTCCGTTGTTCGACCCGACCGCTCTCCTTATACAATGCACTTTTTCGGTTTGTCAATGCTCATTATTATCGATCAATAACACTACAGGATGTTCTAATTTTCTTTTTTTTTATATTTTTTCTACAGTAAGCGGTTGAACGGTTTTTTATTTGTTAGTCAGATAATACTATATATTTGTATTTTATTAACTTTATAGTCAAAATACTATAAGATATACAAGAATGATATATTCATTAAAGTAATTGATTGTTATTTTTTGTAATTTATTATCTGTATCAGATGTATGTATTGTGAAATGCAAAAAAAAAATTATACTATACAAAAAATCTTTAGATGTTACATAATATTTTTTTAAGATAGAAAACTTGTTTTTATAAGTTTAAAACATGATTCGTCTTATTATCGTATTAATTAACCTTTACTAAATGATAGATCGACTTTATTACTATTTTCTTTGCTTGTGACATCGGACGTATAATTAAAAAAATAAAGTTACTTAAATATAGTTCTGTTAAACAGACTGTGGCTGAATACTATTCCTCAAGTATAAGGAAATGTGTGATTTGGGACACCATGTGTAGTCGTGGTGTTTGCGCACGCGCATATAACCGAGGTGCAACGGACGGACAGACGCACTCGCACGCACGCCTCCGTCACAAACGTGAGTATTTTTTTTAAGCAAATTTGTTACAGCATGTGTTATACGTTTAATAAAACTCTATATATTTTTGTTCTAAAAGTGCTGAAAAGTGATAGTGAAATGTGTTTTATGTCAAATGCAATTAAAAAAAAACATATTTTGATGTTACACTCTTGTTTATATTTGTATAAAAGTGTATTTGGACTCTAAATGTATATTTTTAATTGAAATTATAGAATAAATAATAAAATACAACAAAAACATTGAATTTATGACAAAAAACATAATTTTTATAAATCAACAAGATTGTAAATTGGAGTAATAAGTAAAATTAGCGTTTAAAAAAAATGTACATATTTACTAGCTTTTGCTCGCGACTTTATCCGACTAGAATTTAAAAAAAAATATAAGTAGCCTAAGTTCAACCAGATTATGCTCTACATCTGTACCAAATTTCACGGAGATCCACTCAGCTGTTTAGGCGATACTTTATTACATCCAAACATACAAACTTTTGCATTTATAATGTTTGTAAGATAAATTAAATCAGTTTTCTCGTTTATTGCTCTCGTAATCTTCAACAATTAAGAACATAATCAACATCTTAATTAAATGTTAATTCTATGAATACGTTCAGACGTTAAAGTCGATGTTCTTTGAAGTGGAAAATATTGTACTCGCAATATTTTATAAAAGACAGTTTCTTCAAGAGTTAGATAGGGTTATATCTATTTAAGGTTTTTTTATTTTGTTTGAATTTCGTAGTACCCAAATTAGAATTATTTTTTTCTTATGTTTGAATTTCCAGGAAGTTAATCACAGTAATATTATAAATGCGAAAGTTAGATATAAATGCGATAAGTAGATAGATATATGTTTGTTAGTTTGTAGCCTAACCTGCTGAACGGATGTCGATGATATTTTGTACAAAGGGAGAGGATAGTCTGGAACACATATGCTACTCACTTTTGTTTTTTTTTTTTTAATTCCACGCGCACGTAGCGAAAGCTAATAAGTAGATTGTCATTGGAACTTTAATGTTTTAATGAATATAGAATAAATAATAGTTTGACACTTCAGTTAGAACTGAGTATGTTAAGCGAAATTTACTTTTATGAGAATAAAGTATCTTTAAACCTTACTCAGTTCAGGCCTCAGGAGACGTTTAAGTACCTATAGATTTGTTGAAATGTTTAGCGTGACTAGGCGTAATACGTCACGCACAGTCAGCACGCAGGGAGAGATGTTTTCTTTCAAGGGATTAATCAAACAATATTTACATTGTTTTCATCGCAAGATAATGTTCTTAATACATATTTACGAGTGCGTGTTAGCGTTGGGTACTAATTGTATTTAGTTTATTTTCTCTTAACTGTAATGAAGGGCTCAATTTAGCTAAATTAAAAGTTGTCTAAAGATTTTTAATTTATAATAGGGTGTAGCGAATGTGTATTAGCAAATAACTAGGATAGTTAAGTGATTGTCTGGTTTGTTATCATGGTTGTGGGTTGAAATTTCTAAGAGATTAGTTTATTTTTTGTTACAAGACTATTTTACAGAACTTTCTTAACAATTTTTACTATAATTAAACATAATGTGTATTAATTTTAGTGGATTAATTTAATTGCTTACAATTAACCAAACAATATTACATAATCCTTCTTCCCTTTAATTAAATTAGAATATGAGATAGAAACGTGAGATGACCCGAGCTAAAATTACTTTTGGTAAAGGCCGGTAAAAGCTCACAGATATTCTTCCAGTTGGATGCTTCGCAGAATATAATAATTGAAGACGTTTGTTAAGGAATAGCACCTGAGGCGCTAATTTCATTAACATATGTAAACATTAGGGAAATTAAGATCTTTGTATTCTATGTGTCTACGTTAATAACTAGTATTTTCCTACATTATTTTTACAAGTTATGTATAATGTATAAATTATTGTGGATGTGGAAAAATAACTTGGTTAGATGTTTATATAGTTTTATTTACAGAACTAGCTGTTGCCTGTGTTTTCGTCAATGCAATATTAAGATAAAAAATAACATGTCAACTACCCTTCAGTGAAAGTCCGGTCGAAATCGGCCCAGCCGTTTCGGAGATCACTCGGAACAAACGCGGCATGCGGACAGACAGACAAAAAAAATTAAATGCCATTTTCGTTTTCATCAATGCAAATACATCATATTACCGAAATCTGGAATTATTCTTTTGGTTTTACAAACAGACATTCCAATTTTATTATATGTATAGTCATCATTTTTTTGACACAGGAATGTAACAATGTTGAGTACTTCCGATGTTAAATCTTAATTACTCGTAGTTCCGGAAATAAAATGGATATACATAAAGGCGGTAGCTCTTTACATAATGACGTGAACAATTAACAACACGCTAAATGTTATATAAATTATTGCTAACATTGATAATGTAACATAACAAATAAATATTAAACTTTGGCATTTATAATGACTTCTTCTTCTTTTAATGAATAGTGGACCCCATCGTTATTTCGATAATTTCGCCAACGTTAAAATTTTGAATAGCAGCTAACTAGATAGATGGAATCCAGTGAGATTTACAAATGACTGGTAGCTGATGATATCAATAGAGACACTGAAATAAACACGAATGTTACTATCCTATACACTAATTAGTAAATTTATATATTTTAAACATTATTAGTAGTTAAAAATTTAAAGAAATTCGAGCGGATTATCAATGAAGGGTAGTTGACATAATTATTGCCTACTTTTTTAATTCCTCGCTGTCAAAATGTCGAAAGGGGTGGTCCAAATTTGCGCTAACAAAGTTTGCGAGAGATAGCTCGTTAAGAAGTAAGGCTAGATTCTATTTTGTTTCTTGTCTAGGGTGAGTTAATGTTATACTAAAATTAATAGATATTAACCACACTAGATAAGGCATGTTAAGGTTTCACTTTCATACTAGCAAAGGATAATGACATTTGGATATGAACTCATCGGAGACGATTTGTATGCCTCATGCATTCTTATATGCAGGACCGTGCGTTGACTTATTCGTGACAAGCAAACTAATTTGATGCAGATTTTGTTGAAATTGATACCATTTTTTAGTTCAAATGCCGTTTTATACATTCTTTTGTTTGTGTCCTTTTCGTAGGAGGGATTTCCTTAAAAGTTTTTTTAATACATCTTGGACGAAGTCGCGCAAAACCTATCACTTCATATTTAACACGCATACACAAAAACATAGAATGTTGTATAATGTAATTTCTGCTCTCAAAATACTTAGAGACTGTACAGAATTATCTTAAAGGTTAAAGTTGCTTCTAGTTAGAATAAACTTTTACGTACATTGTCTGAACTTTCTAGAAATTCTTGTAATTCAGAGAGTACAAGGATAAATAACGAGGCTCTCACTAATTGTACTCGCATGACTGTGTACCGTTTTTAATTCAGTCCTTTTCAACCCCTAAATGTCGAATTCATTTTAACGTTGAATATAAAATGAATTTCAATGCGTTCTTAAACTGAATTTAAAATGTTTCAAATTAAGAACATGTTTATGAAAAAAGTTTCAAACATTGTTTGTATTAAAACTAAATTAAAAACAAATTTAAATAAATAACAAAGAGTTAGTTTTTACACTATTAATGGCCATAAATAAAACTTTCTATTTTTTAAATCCAACAATAAAACACTGGTTGAAAATAAATTTGTAAGCAAAATAGAGAGATGTCAAACAGAAAAAAATAATAAATCTGTTGAGGTTAAAGTTTCGTACACACTGAGTCAGACACCGGTATTTATTAGCATTGCAAATATCACTGAACTTGAAATTTGCTGTTGTGTATAACCGGTTTTATTTCTTGTCACATTAAGTGCTAATATTGTTAACTATAGGACTTTCGCTAACTTTCTTATTGATGATAATGTTAATATTAGAAATTTTAATTTGTATCCTGTTTTTATATAGTTTCAAATGACTTTACTATGTTAGAATTTCTTTGATCAAAACAGTGCAGAAACTTGAGGTTAAATAAAGAAATTAAGTAACGTGTCCTACGTGAAAATAAGCATTAAATGTATACTGCTAATGTACTGTTAGTACTGCTTGCTCATTTGACACCTTATGATATAAAAAACAAATAACCTTAGAAATAACTTGTATGAATTAACCTTCCATTTCTTTGATTAGAGGCTTAATTATTCGGATTCAGTGCAAATATAAGAAAACGTATGTAACCCTGTTTGAATAGTAATTGTGTAGACAAAGGTTGTGTCGAGGTGTCGTTCAGAATTTCAATGGATGACTCAAATTGACTATTTTATCCTGCTTTTGAGGTCTCTACACTTTTGTTCTTTGTCAAACAATTACTTCCTATATTTTTAAAAGGAAACAATAGTGTTGAAGTAAATGCCAATACCAATAATTAATTCTTACTGGAGGCTACGTTTATACCAATATTATTTTAAATAAAATTATATTAGGGCATGTAAGAATAGATCGATGGCTTTTTAAACGATACATTAGGATTATTATTGTTATTGCTATCCTTAAATGCGTTAAACTAGAAGCAAGTGCTTTAAAAATTCACCTAAGATTAGTAAAGTCGAATTTTTGTTTTTATTTTTGTTCGGATCGATCTTAAGGGTGGTTATTGAGTTCGGACGAAATCTAATTCGGAGTGAATGTTTAATTGAACAGATCAATCGATATAACACATCTGTCGGCATTCAGATATATCGGATTGCGGTCATAATAGAAGCGACCAGGTTAATGGGTGAGTGTAGAACTCGAGCAATGTTCCCGTTATGTATGCCGTTACAACGTCGCATGTCACCGTACAATTGTGAATATTATTGAATATGTAATTTACAAACGCATTGGCAATATTAGTATCGAACTGAACTCAACATTAACATGTTAATGTTTTTTAGTATTCCACAAATACTTTTGAAACTTAAAAATGATTAACGGCAGAGCTTTTGTTGAGTTAACAAATTTTAGTTTTCTTATCACTAGTGAGATTGTAAACTGTGGATGTTTATAATTTTACAGTAACACAGGACATGTCCCCTCTCTAATTACTCGCTAGAGTCTCAGTTAAATAACATCGTTAGAGCGAGTGCTTGAATTTAAAAAGTTTTATTCCAATATTCTTACTCGTATTTGTTTGAGGTTGGTCGCAAAATTTTATTTGGCTTTTTATTTTTATTCTGCAATTTTGTGGAAACTCATATCAATTTTTAATTTTTTATGATAATGTGACTTTAAATTGGTTCAATGAGCTTTTCTATTTTAAATAATAATTTAAAGCACTTGGAGCTGATTGGCGATTTTGGTGCATTGTTTTTATCTTAATGTAATTTTTATTTGTTAAATCTAATGTGTGCATTTCAATAAAAATGTTCAATGAACTTGTGTTGTGCTACACAAAAGAGTTTTTTAACAATAAACAATTGCATCTTCATAAAAGTACCTTTAGTTTAGGTTTTCCTAAAAGACCTAGATCATGGTACTTAGGTTTATTGCACGTTACACTTTTAATATGAGAGTAATCAACTATATTTTGTTTCAGAAACAAAATGCGAGTAATACTAGCGGCGTTGGCTGTCCTGGCAGTCGCGACCACCGCGAAAGAATGTAAGTAATGATAAGATAAATAACAAAAAAACAGACGAGTTGAGAACCACCTCCTTTTAGAATTATGTTTATAAAGAAACTATATACAAACAATTATAGTTGCTATACAGAACTACCACGAAACCTAAATATTTTACACAATTAAAGACTTATAAAACCTTCATGGTGAATGTCTTTTTGCTAATAATGATTTTTAGTTATTCCCAGATACCCATTTGTGAAAACAAGTTCACCTTTCATTTACAAATACCTTGATCAATATAACATCATCATCTCCCCTGCCTTATCCTACTCCTGTAGGGTCGGCGCACCGGGTTTTCGTCCTCCAAAAAACTCTATCATCCGTCATCTCAGTCATCACTTCTTGACCAATATAACAAAACAAACACATTAATATTTCTGACAAATGAATTTGTTTTGAACAATCATAGACCAGGCTATAAACAGTTATGTACATATGTAGACTAGACTTTATGTAATAGTACTAATGATTAATTCTCTAAGGAGTAGGCAACTTAACCCGATAATTACATAGCTAATATGTAAACTTTGCAAGTATAATACAGAGATTCCCAACATTTTCATGTAAACCCCTTTCAAAATTTTATTACTGTCAGTAAACCCTTTGCTACATTTCTTCTTCAACTTGAAACCCTCTAACTAGCTGTTGCTCACAACTTCGTCTGCGTGAAATTAAAAAAAATATAGTCTATGTTACTCACTGATAACGTAGCTTTTTATGGTAAACGAATTTTTGAAATACTTACGAAAACCCAAAAGTAAAGTTTTTTCCTCTTTATAATATTAGTATAGGCGAACATTATATCTTGCCAGCTATGTGTTTACACATGCCATATACATTTACACATCTATACTAATATTATAAAGAGGAAAGATTTGTATTTTTTTATGTATTTGATTCACGCAAAAACTACTGAGTCGATTTTAAGAATTCTTTCACCGTTAGAAAGGTAATTTATCTGTGAGTATCATAGGTTATGTTTTTTTGTGTTAATGTTAAATTTTACGCGGGCGAAGTCGCGAACTTATATAAATTGTTACTTTCCCCAGCGGACAGCAGAGCCCGCATAGTATGCTACTTCAGCAACTGGGCGGTATACCGGCCTGGGGTGGGCAGGTACGGCATCGAGGACATTCCCGTGGACAAGTGCACCCACATCATATACTCCTTCATCGGCGTCACTGAACACTCTAAGGAGGTTCTCATCATTGACCCTGAGGTAAGACTACTCAATGTACTTAAAAGCACTATCTAATAAATTAATTTTTTTTTATCTGTTCCTATAAAATGTTAGGAAATTAGGACCCGTTTCTAATATTTTCCGGTTCTTACTTTAAACTAATGTCTCTTTTGTTTTTTTTTAATATTTACTCGTCTAACATAACTTTTTTAAGTTACAATCAAACAATGTCAACGCACTAAATGAAATTATTTAAACAATCGTTATTAAATACTAGCTTTCGTCCGCGACTCCGTTCGCGTGGAATTAAAGAAATAACAAAAGTGAGTAGCCTATGTGACCTTCCAAACTATCCTCTACGTCCATACCAAACTTCATCGAAATCCTTTGAGCCGTTTAGACTACAAACTCTAACAAACCTCCATCCATCTAAACTTTCGCATTTATAATATTAATATGATGGTAAATCTAAATCTACATAAATATGTCTTGAAAATAATTAATAAATGTTCTAAATTGGATATTCCTTTACAGTTTAAAGTTATAGATCCAAAACATAATACTTAATACTATTACTTACATTTCAACGCACAAATAGCATTAAATAATTAGATTTAAACGATATTTATTTGGAACAGCTTTCTCTTACAATCTCTAAATCATTTAGCAATAAAAGGCGCCAGACAAAACGCGCAGAAATCTTTATTAAATTCCGAACTTGGCTCATTTCCATACAAAATACTTATAACTTACGAACAATCCAGTATTCTTTTTTATTATAAAAAAATATAAGGACTTTTCTTTGAAATGACTGCAATAACAGTAATTACTTACTTTAAAACAGATTTTTTTGTGACTGAATTGCCGCTGTTTGCCTTGAAGAGGCATTTACAGATTCACCGGGCTTGAGGTGGCCGAGCGCAGATGGCGCTGAGTCTAAACCTCGTTATTAAAAACAGATATTTCGATACGTATTGACTAATGATACAGGCATTAAAAAAATATTATCACAATTTGATTAACAATAGCAATTGTTATACTGTTATTACATCTATTAACAAATATTTCACAACTAGCTTTCATCCGCGGTTTCGTCTGAGCGGAATTAAATAGAAATAGTATGTAGGTTATGTGTTCTTCCAGACTATGTTCTTCATCTCTGCCAATCGAGATTCGTTCAGCATTTTATGCTAAAAATTACAATAAATATCTACCTACCCATCAAACTTTCACATAATGAAACCCTCACACATAAAATGTTAGTAACCTCCTGAATTTCATTGGTATCCGTTTGAAGAGCAAACATATATGACATTACACCGCGTAACAGACAGAGTGCATTTTTAGGAAAAAGATTTCTCTCTTTGCATACCTTACCTTACGGACACAATGTACTAATTTTTCAATCAAATATTGCGAATTCCTGTTTTTTCTAATAACAATTACCAGTCTTTCTATTTCTATTGTTATATTTAAAATGTTCAATGCGATCTTTTTCATGCTTGTACTCGTTAGTGCGTATTATGATTGATAACAATCTCTCTTGCGTAATTAGTTACTAATTTTAAATAGTTTACAATACTTTACTGCTTGTAAATTACCTTGAGTTTACTGAAGCCAAATATTTTAAGAGTAAATCTCATATTTAATGTTTCAGCTGCAGATTTACTTTATTCTTTGCGGATAACATCTCGCTAGACGGACCTTCTCTTAATTAAGGATTCTTATCTAAGAATTTTATTACTTCGTGTATTTTCTCAACTATTTCTCTGAAACTATCTAGATACGGTAGTTTTCTTATTTTATACTAATGAAAGCCGTATTTTGTTGATCGTCAGATTACCTGACTAAAAAAATTAAGATTTTTTTACCCAAAAATCTTTGAGGACATTTACAAAACATCATGGCAAAGCTTCATTACTTGAGCAGTAGGCAACAAATTTTATTGTAAATATTAATTTCCGTTCTTAGAGTTAAAAAAATCTTTCTATCCTTTTGTTTATTAAATTATTAACTGATTATTTATACTAGCTATTGAGTCCCAATCCATCCGCACGGAACTAAAAAAAAATTAGTAAGAAACTTATGTATTCTCCCATACTATGTTCTACATCTGTAACAAATTTCATGGACGTGTCTGTTTTGGAGATACGTATTAACAAACATTCATCCATCTATACTTTCGCATTTATAATGTTAGTATGAAATATGATTGTCATGTAAAAATTCTATGTGAATCGACACTAATGGGAATACTTAATAGGCAATGTGTGCTTCATCTCACGCATTTATGCATTTCGTTTCTTTTACTCACAAAAAAATATATAATTTGCAGTTAGACGTGGAGCAGAATGGTTTCAAGAACTTCACAGATCTGCGTGCCCACCATCCCGACATCAAGTTCATGGTGGCAGTGGGGGGTTGGGCAGAGGGGGGCTCGAAGTACTCCCAGATGGTAGCGCATAAAAGCTCGCGCTTGAGCTTCGTAAAAAGCGTTGTTGGTAAGTATTAAGTTTCATAATTTTACTGTGAAATTCCGACATTCGTACAAAAACATATTTTTATTTTAATATTAAGGGGAATAAATAGCACGACAGTTCGTTTTCATCGATATATAAAGCAGTGCAAACCTAATTATTAGCAACCTTTAAAAACTCTATCGGGATAGAGGTAAAACTAAAAAACTTATAAGCTCAACTAGTATATTCTGAGGAAAAATACAATATTGGAAAATCTATGGCATCGAAATCGGTTTAGCCATTTAGGCTAAATGCCTTTAAAAGTATGATTTAACTACACAGTCTTCTTACCACTTATCTTACTTCTTACTGACATTGTAAATGTAAAAGTTTAGATGCATGGATAAATGTTAATTAGAGTTTGTAGCCTTAATTGCTAAATGGAATGCGATAAAATTCGTCATAGATGTAGAGGATAATCTGGAAGAAAGAACGCACATAAAAAGAACATTGCTTTTATTTTTTGTAATTCCACCCGTACAGAGTCGCAGGTGAAAGCTAGTATTCCATAAAAACTAATATAATAGTTTCGTAGGTAAAAATTAAGCCTTTAAGCTACTTTATAATTTAGTCTCCGAAGCTTCGTCATATATTGCCAGTATTAAGTTTGCAATTTCATTTTATATTTTAATACACATTTCATACGAGTTCGCTTTCTTGCCATTCTAATATGTATATTAAAAATATCTTTACAGTCTTTAATTTATTTGAAGAAAGTGACGGCTGTTATTTTCGTATAAAATTTAGTGTGGACGTGCATTTATGACATTATCTTTATAAACCTAAGCTTAAAAATTCTCCGTTTAATTTACAATTTTGTTTAGTTGTGGATATATATTGTAAACTAGCTGTTGCTCGCGACTTCGCCCGCGTGAAATTGAAAAAGATAGCCTAAGTTACTCACTGATAACGTAGCTTCTTAATGGTTAAGAGTTTTTGAAATCGGCCCAGTGGTTTTTGAGTTCACTCAATACATACAAAAAATATAAATATTTCCCCTTTATAATATTATTGTAGATAAACTATTTTCTAAAATACAACTACCAAACAATCAGCAACATTTCTGCTAACTGCGGTTTTAAAAATTCGTGTTATATAAAATTTAGAGAACATTTACGTGCAAACAGAGAGAAGTACCGGTTTGAGAATTTACCCGTTCTTTACACGAGAGGTCGCTGCACGCGTGAGCTGAAATTCAGAAAGGATTTCATGCAGGTCAAACGCAAAGCCGATGTAAGAATGCTTACGTGCAACCTGCATACGGAATATCTTACTTTAATTTCTTCCACGATAAGTCGTATTAAATGATCAAAACATGTGAACTTTTTGTTTTGCAGATATACCTGACTAAGAGGTTAGGTAATAGGTAATTTCATCTCCTTTTTGTATATGCCTGCAGCCTATGTGTTATTCCAGACTATCCTCTACATCTGTGTCAAATTTCATCGCGATCCGTTCAGCAGTTTAGGCTACAAATTCAAACAAACATCCGTCTAAACTTACGCATTTATGATATTAGTAGATTGACAAATTGGTATGAAAGCTAATGATATAATGCAGCAATAACTATAATTAATGGCACGCGATATATACAGTATGCAATATCGTTCGTTTACTCTGCAACTCATAAACGCCTACATCAATACTGGTTCAGTATAAATTGTGACTATAGAAGGAAGAAGATTGCTCTGTGATTTTATCAACATTGTTACAAATCTTTATTAGTTATAGTCATAGTTTTATGTGTATGTAAGACATTATCACTGACTTCCGTATTTATTTCGTAGTATGTAATTCGGATTCTGTAGTGTGTAATTCGGATTTATTAAAATTCAAATCCACGTTTCCTTCCCATCATTCTTAGAAATAAAAGGGTGGGAAGGAAAAGGAGCTAAAGATGGGCCCTCGGCATCACACTCATCAGATTGTACGCGGAATTTCTCCCACTTCACGTCTGTCTTCTGTGTAGTCGTGATATTGCACGGTGCGAGCTGACCCGTTCGTGCGAAGATGTTAAACCGGGCTCTATCACTGTTAAAAGGTCGTAATATCGTCGGTTATGTTAACTTCAACTTGATAAACAGCAATATTTAAACTTAAAGAGTGTTATTGTAATAAAATTAAAAATTCGTTGAAAAAGAAACGTATGCAAGTAAATCTGCGGGTATCTAGTTGTTATGTTACACAAGACATTATATCGTCATAGCTTTTAGAATGTTTCTCCGACAATTTAGTTGAGTGAGACAGTTTGAGTGCGGAGGAAATAGTGAGTTACGCCTCCGATAGGAATTACCCAGAGAGCTTGGAAATTGTCATTTCCTGATAGATGTTTAGGGTTTGCCGAGCAATTTACTGACGGTTAAGTTATATAACTTGATCGTATTTATTATAGCCTGATATAAATAACTTGTCTGGGAATATGTTAAGAATTTAGATATAGAAGAAAAATATACAGAAGACAGGCTTGATGTGTGAGCAATTCAGCGTCCGTCTGATGAGTGTCGAGCTGGAGGCCCGATTTTAGTTCCTTTTCCTTTCCATCTTTCATAGGAAGGGGAAATATCCTGTTTATGTGCGTCCCTTCTTCCGTCGATTAAGGGTAGGCAACGTATCTGCCATTGCGACACACTGTATAAATAATTTATGACAAAAATATGTAAAATTTGGCGACACACAAAAGTGCCGCAGCACAATGGTTGAGAATCACTGCTTTAGGTGATAGGTTGAAAAAAGGAGCGAACGTAATTTTTGAACTTCCAAATGTCACGCGGACGACGTCGCGGGCAACAGCTTAGTATATAAAAAGAGGATACTTTTGCTGGTAACGCTTTATTCAAATTCATGTTAATCTAACTTCTTACTTGCAGTACATAAGTATAAAGCGTTTCTTTGTGTAGGTGGACAAAAATAAGAGGGCAATATTTTAATGCGACCTCCATTAGTGTCATTGCAGTGTAGCGGCGACGCACCGCGCGGGGACTGTTACTGCAAATTGCTTTTTTGCCCTCCTTAATATGTAGTTACGGCTAATTGCGTAATTATTTTATAAAAGCCTTTTCAGTAATTGTAGTAGGCATTATCTAAATATATTGTCTTTACGTGTTTATTGCTGATAGTTTCATAAATTAAAATCAGACCTAAAACGATATCGAATTTTCTATAACAGTTAAAAAATCCTTTGAAAATAAAATAACTTCTTTCTAAATCACCCATAAAACAATCATAAACACATTTGTCTAACATAAAAAGATTAATAATTGTGTTTCGTCCTTTAAGAGAGCTCAAACACTCTTGACTAAACTATCGCACAACTATTTTGTCGCGCTTTGATTCCTATAAGCTTAGGTGGAGGTGCGCACATTACTTAATTTTTAGTTGTGCAACTAAACAGTTGAATTGGCTGAGAAACAATCGACAATCGCAAAACGTTGTGCGATAGATTACTCAAAAGTGTGCGCCCGCCTAAGTATTTTCATACATCTGTATTTTTAAATAGTAAAATAATAAAGTCGGATTATAAAGACAGACTCTGTTCAAATTACAAATTTCTTTAGAAATTCTCTAAAATGACGGCGATAACTTAACTCCTATTCTACCAACAAGCGGTATTCAGGGAAGTGTGGAAGGCAGTTAAAATAATACGTAGCGTTTACAGCGTGACATGACTCCGAGTTATACGAGAGAGGAACATTTTTATATCCCCACATTACCCGAGCACGGCTCCGGGTATGCAAATAAATGTCATATTTCCAGGGGGCATATTACGAGTTGAATCCCGGCGAATGCGAGGCACGACGTACTCGCTTTTAATTATTTTCCATTATCGTTTTAGAAGAATGCTCAGACGAGTTAATTTAAACTTTGCCTTTTGATATTTTTGTAAGCCTTTTATGCTTTTATTGAAAAAGTTTCGAAATTGTCACGTCACAAATAAATAAAACTTTATTGTTATAACATATATAATAATAACATTATGAAATATTTTTAAATGTTCCGTCTTATCTTTGAGGGTGAAATTTTCACGTACTGAGAGCAAAGTAAGATGTTTGCTCATTTCATTAGAAAAACAGCATATTTTTTGGGTATAACTTTCAGCAATAGACACGGTGTCAAAACAATCTGAACATTTTAAAGTATGTCTAAAGAATTCCTCTTTCATTACAGATTTTATAAACAAATACAAGTTCGACGGACTAGACCTCGACTGGGAGTACCCTGGTGCTGCTGACCGAGGCGGTTCCTTCTCCGACAAGGATCGGTTCTTGTACCTCGTGCAGGAGTTACGACGCGCTTTCATCAGAGAAGGGAAGGGATGGGAGCTAACCGCGGCGGTACCAGTAGCTGCTTTCAGACTTATGGAGGGTTACCATGTACCTGATTTATGTCGGTGAGTGTACCATACAAACTTTACATCGCTAAATGCTTCAGAAAAAGTAATCATACCAATATTATAAGTGGGAAGTTTAGATAGATGTTTGTTAGAGTTTGTAGCCTAAACAGCTAAACTAATTTTGATGAAATTTGGTACAGATGTAGAGGATAGTCTGGAAGAACACATAGACTACTCACTTTTGTTTCTTTAATTTCACTCTGACGGGGACGCGGACGATAGCTAGTTTAAGATAAATTCAATTTATGTAATAACCGGTACCAATTTGTTTCTCTATCTTGTATTAGAGAAAACTTTTGAAAACTGTTGTTTTTCACTGTTGCAAAATATCAATTACTTTCCAATATTCCATTAAATCGAAAACCTCTAGGAATCAAAAGCTCAGCATTGCAATAAAATTGAATATTACGAAAGACATTTCATCACCACATTAGCGTGGTTACGACTGTTATAAAATTGGAGAGAGCAATTGAAAATTTAATAGCAGTAATATCGGTACCTTTGAAAACATTCCCCCATTCCACGATGTTTTCAACATTTTTCCTTGCTCGAATAAAATTATTTCTCATCTTGTTTGTAAAGAAATTTTCGCAGCATTATAAGTGAAACCGAGTGGCTCTTCATGAATAAATGATTAACAGAATCATAAAGCAATTCAGAGAAGATGCTTCTTAATTCTCAGTTCTTACATAATTCGAGATAAAAATCTGAAGCGGTTCTTAATACTTATAACATAAGTAGAATACAAAATGATTTATCTTGAAGTATCAGTTATTTACCTTTTTTCTGCTTTGACTATCAAAGTAAATGATTTATTAGAATTAATCATTTACTTTCATAAATCGTAATCCTAATCGTATTTAATTTTATGTTTATGACATAAGCTCATTAGTTATTTCTTACTAGAGAACGATCATTCAGTCATTCAGTTCCTTTGTAAATGAGATCACATATTTGTACAGGGAATTGGATGCCATTCACGCGATGACTTACGACTTGCGTGGCAACTGGGCTGGCTTCGCAGACGTCCACTCGCCGCTATACAAGCGCCCCCACGACCAATGGGCTTACGAGAAACTAAATGTGGTGAGTGAGATAAGGCTAAGCCGTTTACAATGTGTAGTTACTAGCTACTATTTTGGTAAGATGTGACAAGTTAACACCCTCACCCTCCGTCACAAATCGTAGAAGCATTGAACTCGTTAAAACATCTCTAGTTTTTTAAGAGAAATTCAACATAGTTTTTTTAAATCTATAGATTTATATCATTTACTTTTGCCAAATTTTTCAACAGCTTTTAGGTTGCTGTATGTATGCTTTCATATGTAGTTTTTTTATAAAGAGGACGATTTGTATTTTTATATGTATTGAAATAACTCAAAAACTACTGTGCCGATTCCCAAAATTCTTTCACCAATAAATAGCTACGTTATCTCTGAGTAACAGGTTCTATATTTTTATAATTTCATGAAAGCGAAGTCGCGAGCAACAGCTAGTGAGAAATAAAAAGAACTTTTACACAATTATTAATCATAAAATTAGGAAGAGAATAATACAATTTCTGAATGATTTATTGACATTTATATAATTAATATTATTTCAGAACGACGGTCTTAATCTTTGGGAAGAAAAGGGCTGCCCATCCAATAAGCTGGTAGTGGGCATTCCGTTTTACGGGCGTTCGTTTACATTGTCTGCGGGCAACAATAACTATGGTCTGGGGACTTATATCAATAAAGAGGCCGGCGGAGGCGATCCCGCGCCCTACACCAATGCCACCGGCTTCTGGGCTTATTACGAGGTAACGTTCTCCTTTATAATAACCGAATAGACATTAATACCTATATAACTCTGTGGAATAGAGATTACGAGGGCAGACGTATTGTATGGTTAGGTTAGTCTAGACTAGGTAGAAATTACTGTGTTTTCATTGGCTATTTTAATTCTAAAAAGGCAGTCTGAAATATCCAAGCATATTTATATTAAAGCTGTTAAGTCAGTTGGGTCGCCTTCAAAATTGGAAATGCAGAATTTAAATATGAATGGATGTTTATTATAGTTTCACATATTAAAATGTCGCTGACCTAAATTTTGGTTTTATTAAAATTTCCTAAGTTACCGGCAATATTTTACTTCATTATTTCTGTTATTCTGGTCAAGTTGTTTTCAGGGTTAGACGTTGTTTTAAATGTATGGAAGTCACGAATACTGTTTTTAAAATACAATTTGATTATACAAGTATAACGAAGCAAATGTTTGTATCAACTTAAAAGGGTTAAATAAAGTACAAATATAAGAATGAAGTATTAAAGAGTTTCCAGAAAATTCCATTGTTTCAATTTGAAAGTTTTCCAAAGTTTATTTTGTGGAATTTTCTGATTGCGGTTCTCTCGACTTTAAAATTATTGTACGCAATAAAGTCTCGTCGGATGAAATGAAACTATTTTCAGTATTTTCTTATAATACATAAGGGTGCGACCGACGTGGCGGAGTGCTTTAGAATTATTGAGAAGTGTTTTAAAATTTCGTTTAAATTTTCTTAACATTTGACTTATAATTTTAACTAAACCAAACTAGAAATTTCAACTTCTTGTTAGGGAGCGCATGTACGAGTATTAAATGGGTTTCGATACTGACTTAAAGTTCTCTTTATCAAGAGTAATTCTTAGATAACTTCTTAAGGCTTCTCTAAATTGTAGTCCTTTAATATTGTTTTTAAATTCCAGATCTGTACTGAAGTGGATAAGAAAGATTCTGGCTGGACTAAAAAGTGGGACGAGCACGGCAAATGCCCCTACGCTTTCAAGGGCACCCAATGGGTTGGATACGAGGACCAACGGAGTGTAGAAATTAAAATGGATTGGATCAAGCAGAAGGGTTACCTCGGCGCGATGACGTGGGCGATCGATATGGACGACTTCAGGGGTCTGTGCGGTCCCAAAAATCCCCTAATTAATATCCTCCATAAAGAAATGTCGAACTACATCGTCCCCCCTCCCCGCACCGGACATACCACCCCCACTGTGAGTATGCGAGGCAAAGAAAACAAACCTCTTCAGATTATTCCGAGCTCGGGCAATATAAGTAAAGTTTGCGTACGAATTTATTAGGCTCATAGGGATGGACGGATGTCGGTAGAATCGATATCGACTAGTCATCGTTTTCTTTTAATCGATTTTATACCACGTAACTTATTTGATCTGGTTAGTTACATAAACTGCTTTTGATATAGACTAAAAATTATTTATAAAATATTACCCTTTGATACATAATTTAATATTAAAGTAATAATTTTCATTGTGGTTTGTACCTTTGATTTTTAAATATTTTAACTGCGATAGTCGAAGTTGTGGAGTTATCAGTGTATAACATGGTTTTGTTTTTTATTTAATTTGTAGATTAGTTACAAAATAAATATAATTGAGGTACAACACTATTTAATACTTGTGTATCGCTCCTTAAAGTAACAAGAGAGAGGGTATTTACTGTCAAAATATGTTGGCAATCGAGAGGCGATAAATCCTTTAGACAAATGGAAGTCATTAATCATCGCGATAAAATCTTTTAGCCGGAATGGGCGCGGCCGCCGTCGACACCTAGCGACCCAGCAGAGGGCGCCCCTGTCGTCACTACCACTACTAGGAGACCCACTACTACTATGTCCACTACGACCAAGACCACTACAATTAGAACTACCACTACCCGCGTGACGTCAACAGAAGCAGCCAGTGAAGCTCCCGAACCAGTGCCAGTTAATGATCATCCCGAGGAACCTCCAGCGGTAAATTTATACCCATACTCTATAATCTAGCAAAGTCTATTGTCGTCTTTCACTCCTTCTGGAATATTGAGATAACATTATTTTTTCTATTTTAAAAAGGAAAATGAGGTTGACAACCCTGATATCTGCGACTCCGAAGACGATTACGTGCCCGACAAGAAAGCCTGCGATAAGGTAATAATGCAAACAATATTATTATCATAAAAATAAATAGCTTTCCACAGCACCTACCGCGTTTAAAATAATTTTGTAACATTCCTCGTAATGGAAATAACACGTAACTATGATATATCAGATATAATTTAATGTAATTCACTCCTTAATAAAGCCTGAAGATTTATTAATATTCAAAATTGCATTCTTAACTTATACGAGATTAGGATGGGTCTCGTTTAGCGTTAAACGTCTGACGTATGACATTAAATTACCATCGCGAACGTTACGACGCCGCGAATATTTGCATTTAAATTATTGTCAGGCGCAACTTTCACGTTAAATTGCATATTTATTCTATAAAACCGTTAAGAAATCACGAATTACATTTACAACAATTTACAGGCTGTTAAAAATACTTATTACATAAATGTAAAATACACGTCGGCCATATTTATGGGTAATAATTGAAAATACATTGCCTAAAAAGTTCCCAGTCTTAAAACGAACTTTTTTTTTCAGTACTGGCGCTGTGTCAATGGGGAACCAGTCCAATTTACTTGTCAACCAGGAACCGTATTCAACACGCATCTAAACGTTTGTGACTGGCCGCAAAATGCTAAGCGACTTGATTGTAACTAATCCCAGAAAAAAAAACATAGCACGCTCCAGACATTAAAACGTACGAATGTGTTTCTTTTACCAAACACGTGCTTTTTAATTATTGAGCGTGTCGGTAATAATGGAGGGAAAGTTTTTGCATTTGATTTACTGCTGTTTGTTTTTTTATTTGTTGCGTAGTTATCGTGTAAGCTATGTAAATAGACATCACTATAACTGTCAAATATAGCAGTCTGTGTTGACAGCTTTCAAATTAACGTGTTTGTAACTGTAACGCTTATTATTTTAAATCTTATTTAAACATTAAAATTTTGGATATAATTTAGATAAAGATGTTTCATAAAAAGATAATTATGTCTCTTAGCTGTTAATGCGGACTTTTTATATTTTTAAACAAGAATAGTTTCAGTATCGAGTTTGTACAATTCAAAGTAAATATTTTTGATACTGAGACTGTTTTACTACCAACGAAGATTTTTAAAATAAAAGTGGTTTCTGCTCATACTATATACTAAAGTAATTTGTATTTTGTGTGCAAAGTCACGAGAGTTTGTAACATAAGTAATCCCACACGAAATGAAGGATTTTAAGAAAACTTTAAAGTTTCATTCCAATTTAAGAATTTGAAAATTGGTTTTCAACAGATTTTCGATTACTTGTTTTTATAAACTTTTGGACTATAAGAAATTATGATTGCTCATTATTATAATTATTTGGTTTAGTGTAATTAGGTTAAGATTATTTAGTGCAAGATTCGAAGCAAAAATTATCTAGTACGTAATTCGTTTGAAGCTGGGAGCCAATTATAGCTCTTGGCTTCCGCTGAATTTAAATGGATTTCCATCCTCCCTTCAATCCCCACCACTCGTCGGAAATGGACGTCGCTTCCCTTAGGTTAATTTATTTATTTTTTCAATAAAATAGTAAATGAAAATATTAAGTTTTATTTATAAAAAAATAGTGTTTAAGGATTTTTGGTAAATGACTGCTTTCACGTTATAAGAAAAATAAACTGAAAGGCAATAACCAACATGTTATTTTCTTAAATTTTGTGTTAATCTTGTCGTAGTCCAGAAGAAGAGTTTAATTCTAAGATTTATCACAATTAAAAAAATATCCTACTTTCTACTTTACAGTTTCAAAAAGTACTAAATCTCTTAATAACTCTAAAATGTAAATGGAACAAATTTTGTATAAATGAATTTGCAGAAAAATTAACTCGCATGCATCCTCTGAAGTGTTGAGTTCATCAAATTCTACATAAGTAATTGATAACACCAACCTAGGCTTGTAAAGTGTGTCGGCTCATTTTGCCGACACTTCAAAGGCGTTGTCAGCATAAATTACATTTCAGACCTTGGATAATAATGTAAAGAAAAACGCGAATTCCACTTTTATTACGTTTCAAAATATGCAATGCACAATTAAGAATATTTATCGCCGGATTTTTGGTCATTAATAATGAATAATAAGTCTAAAACTGGTAAACAAAAATCTACATTCGTTATAGTCTTTAAAACTATTTATATTTAAAACTTAAAGAATAGAAAATAACTTTGACCGCCTGCAGCATTATTGTAGCAAATTTACAATATGAGGATATTGCTCTAAACGTCACGTTTTAACAATTTTTTATGTCATTATTTTTAGTATAAAAATTAAAATGATCTAGGAAACTTGTAAAGGATACGATTAATATTATTCAGTTACTAATTTAATTTATACTGACAAGTTTATGAAATCGTGGCAGTATTATTGGGAAGCGGGTTACATATGGGTATATTATCATATTTTATAATGAAAGTCATATAAAGTTTGTTGCTTGTTAGCTCAGTAAATGTTAACTCGGATCCTTTTCGCTGTTGGCTATTTTTCGAGAAGTTTCTAATGATGCGGATCGGAGTAATGTTGACTTCTCGTGGCTTGTTTTAAGCTTACGAAAATAACGTATCATTCGGAAGATTTACGTAAATAAACTTTAATGTTTTGCATTTATATATAAAGGGATGAGAGTTATCTCAGTTTTTCTACAATAACCGATACTATTACCGATTGAAGTTTGAAATATCTAAAAGATTATAGATTTCAAACTTCAATTATTAAGATTATACACATGACTTATCTAGTTTAAAATATTTAGTTAAATGATAACAAAGATAAGATAATAGAAATCATCTCACTATTTAATAACAGCAGATATTACAAAAAAAAAATGTTGCTTTATTACGCTAAAGTCTCAGTAACTTTGTAGTAAATACATATTTTTTTAACACGAACATCATAGTGCTTACAAAAAATTGGGCTCGTCCGGGATTTGAACCCGGGACCTCTCGCACCCTAAGCGAAAATCATACCCCTAGACCAACGAGCCAGCTGCCATAATGTTTTAAAACTAACTAGGCATGGAGCAACCCACAGTGAAAGTTATTTTGGTTATGTAATTTACTCGCGCGCACCATACGTTAATATGTGGTTACTGTCAGTTTCCAGTAACGAAATATGTATACTATGGTCGTCTCTTTCACTTTCATTGAATAAACTGAGTGTGATATTGTTTACGTCGTGAAGTATTTTACTGACATTTCGTTGTTTGGTTTGAAAAATAGAGTACTAGTAAACGAAAACACAGGGAAGATGCATGGGCGTCTCCAGGAGGACAGCTATCCTCCTTAGACCTAGCCTAGACCATCTGGCGAAGTCCGTAAGGAGAAGTGTTGCCATTTCTAGTGACGTTATTGCTGCATCATTGACGCATAGTTTCCACTAGCTCTTCCAGTACGGCTTCATCCGCATGAAATGTCAAAATTCAAATGCACAAATGACAATTTCTTCCTTGATGTTGGCAGCAACTTATGGTCTCTTTCCTACATTAGGATTTTTATCCAAAATATTTACCCCTAAGTTTAATGACGTGAAAATATATAGCCTAAAGCGTGACGTAAGTGTACGGCTTTTTATTAAATAAAAGAACTATTCAAAAATATGCTGTAATTGCTGACATTTTAGGCAACAAAGAAGTGTGTGTTTACGCTTTATTATAATAGTATAGATTTTATTTGCTATACATGATAGTGGTGGGCTTCCATTACATAGGCATCTAAATAGGCCTTTGCATAAAAATATTTTGTGAGTGTTAAAGCAATATATTTCTCTAACTTCAGTATTTTTATCTATCCACTTTATGTGCTATTTGTCAGCATAATTGGGTTTATAAATCATTCTGACTTAGCCATTCGGATCTCGAACAAAAACTATTTTAACGCCAGGGATATTATCATAAAGAATTCTTGTAAATTACGTTTAAACAATTTGTTAAATTACATTTTGTTATCGTATGTTTTTTTTACCATTTGCATTATCAAGATTTCTTAATAACGAAAAAACATATTATCATTTGAATTTCCCTTAGAAAAAGCGAGAGATAACAAACTTAATGGAAAAAATCACAGTATGTGCTTCTTTTTAACATCAAGTCATTTCCTAGTAACTTTATGAGGGCATCAATAGGTATCTAAAAGTAGGGCAAGCAGGGCAACCATTCCTTTTTATGACCCTATATTAATTCTGTCATTCGAAAATTCATATTTATTAATAGGAAATATTGTAACTTATAATCTAAATATTAAAAATATGTATTTAAGAAATGGAGAAACATCTTTATCATCGTGAAAAGATTTTAGATATTATCCATAGTTATACGTAAATAAAAAAAATTGGGCTCGTCCGGGATTTGAACCCGGGACCTCTCGCACCCTAAGCGAAAATCATACCCCTAGACCAACGAGCCAGTACAAAAAGGTAAACCATAACATTTCTGATTCAACGAAGTGACTGTTAAAAAGTGAAAGGTTTACATTGCTATACGTCACAGATGTTGAAAGTTTAATTGTAAAATTCCACTGTCGTAAAATATGTATTACATGTCTTCATTTTAAAGCGAATGAGATGTTATCCTTTATTGATAACTAAAGATGTATTTATGATTTCTTTTCAATTTTAACGTGATTTTTTTATCGAATGGTTACCGAATTTAACGAATGTATCGTGTTATTTCTGTATTGAAGTGCATTTGTGACATGCTATAAATTGTACATTAATTTGAGTAACTATTTATTTCAATTTGATTTATTTCGTCTGTACTGTTAGCTTGTGAAATCATCTGTTTACATATTTACATACAGGATCTAAGATATTCTAATGACTCCCTTGAAATAATTAAGTTAACGACATGTTTTTTAGCTGTTTCGGTAATGTAAACTTGCTGTTAACGTGTTTAGCAGCAACATACTTCTTCTAATCTAAGCACACTTTCGTGGTTAAAACAATTCGTAGTAAAATATTAAATAAAGCAATTTTGTTTTATAAAATAATAACCGCGTGAACACAAAGGAGTTATAAAAAGCTTAAGTGTTTGCGTGCATTGAGGTTATTTTTCTGCAGCAAAAGTAGGCTAACTTCTTAAAATTTGCATGTTATTACCATTAAATGTATATCCCTAATTGCATCGCTTTATGGACACTCCTTACCAAGTAACAAAAAGGCACGTAAGTGGTGAAGTAAAAATATACATTCTTAATGGAAGTTATATTTTATTTAAGGATTTATAGTACTAGTTACTATTAGTTTACGGACCAAAAATTTAATGTAATTAATCTTTTATTTGTTTGCTTATAAATAGTAAAAGGAATAAATTTTTTTCTCTGAAAATTAAAGTGAATTTTTAATGCAGTAACACATGTAAAATGTTCCTCTCTATTTTGCAAGGTATACTGTAATAAAAATAATTTGGGCTCGTCCGGGATTTGAACCCGGGACCTCTCGCACCCTAAGCGAAAATCATACCCCTAGACCAACGAGCCGGTGATGACAATCTCGATATTTACCAATAAAAATGATTTTAGAAAGTTTAATTGAATCTGTTTAACTGTTACTTTTGAGATTAGCCTCTAATAAAACGTAGACCCGTTCTTTTAATTCTCCCACGCACGCCTACTCATTATTATCCAATCTATAGCTTTATATGTTTTTAATTTATT